CCAGCTGAGGTAGCAGAACCAAAGTCCAAGAAGGAGAAGGGGCGGAAATCAAAACTTTCACAGTCTGATAAACACGATGAACCGGTTCACGATGCTGCTGGAACAAAACCGCAGGAGGTTGTGGAAGAACCGATTGTGCCCATCGATCACCCGACCACCATTCCATGTTGTCCGGACCACCCAATGGGAGAACATCCGTCGAATGTTGAACTCCAGAAACAGGCGGTGCAAAATCAGAAACGTAAACGACAAAAATCCAGCCGCAAATCAACCAGTTCACAGTCTGAAGATTCGCCTGTTGCCAAACCTATTGATTCAGTCCCTGCCCCGGTCTCAGAAGGTATACCCCCGGCGAAAACAGAAAGTCCGACAGAACAACCAATGGACGTGAACCACCACCCAGTAGCATCAGGGGAGACGCACGAACCCATCGCTCACCCACATGATGCAAAATCCACCAAACGAAAGGAACGCAAACACAAAAAATCACAATCAAAAGACGAAGCGGAACACTCGCCCAAAACTGCTTCATCTATCCCCGATGAAGTCGAACCCCCGTTGATCGAGGAACCGATTCATCCAGTGGAGAAAGCTAACACGGCTCACGAGCCGGAAACCGGTGGTAAGGGTAGAAAGGGAAAACGTCATAAATCGCACAGTTCGCAATCGGAACAGACAACAGAATCCGCATCACCGCCCTTGGTTTCCCCGGTGACTGCAGTAGCGACGACTGCCGTGCCGGTACAACCTACAGATGCACAACAACAACAACAACCAGAACCAGAACCAATGGAGGTTGAGGAAGATCACGTGACACCTCATATCAATGCCACGGCTGTGGCTGCTCCTCCCCCTCCTCCAGCACCAGCACCAGCTCTTCCAACCCCGGAACAACTCGAGGAAGAGATGAAACCAAAGAAACCAAGCAAACCGCGCAAATCCAAACGCTCACAATCTGACAGTGTGGATGATCACGTCACACAAGCCGTACCGACTGAGCCTCAAACCCAAGAGCAGCCGATTGTGACGTCAGTTGAACCGACAGGGACCACTCACCCGGAATCCGGTAAAATCACGAAGCCAAAGAAGCCACGTGCGAAAAAATCCAGCCAATCTCACTCGGAATCACATCCAGATGAAGAGCATGTGAAACCGGTTGACGCCAACCCACTAACCAAACCGGCTGCTGTCTTGCCGGAACCCATGGTTCCTAACACTTTGCCTACTGATCTGGCGGAACCCATGCAAGTTGAACCGAACCAGTCCACAACTCCACTGCTTAGTCCATCATCCATTGGACCCTCGGAACAGTTTGTATGTGTCGGTCACGTGGAACATGCACACCCCAGTCCCCTATTCCATAATGTCACTCACGAGATGGAAGTGCAACATTTGAGCACAGTGGAACCGACCACGTCTGTTAGCCCCGATGTGATATCTGTGTCTCCACCGAAAAAACACGAACATGTTGTCCCGACCAAACCGGAAGGGAAACAGAAAAAACCGGAGCATAAGATGTCCCCCTCGACATCCCCAGTCGTGGAAAGTACTACCAACCCAGCTGAGCCGGTTTCACCGAAATACAAATCGGATAAGAAAGAGACTAAAACGGCCCCACAAAAACCGCAGTCGAAACCGGTTACAAAGCCGGAAGAAAAAGGTCAACAGACAAAAGAAACGGAAGTGACTAAGAAAGTGCAGAATGATTCAGTCCCCACAGAGAAACCGCAATCAAAAACCACAGAGAAACCGGTGAAACAGAAACCAGATGTGCCAAAACAATCCAAACCGGAAAAGGTCCCCAAACAACAACAGCAACAATCAGAACAACAAAAACAGGAACGAAAAAAGGAACAAGACGTGAAAACGGCGACGAAGAAGAAAGCGGAAAAACGGAAACACGACGAGACGTCAGCAGTGGTAGTGCAACCGAAAAAGGTAAGCGCCTCATCCGATTCGGTCAAATCAACCGAGAAGAGTTCGAAGAAACAAGATCCCACGCTGGAACGACTGACGCGAGTGAAACGAATCAAACCGGTTTCAGCACGACGACTGAAAGATAAGAGACCCGTTAAATCGGTCAGTACAGATGAGGCTCAAATAGACGTGAAAGAGGCCGAAAAGATTGCACCCACCAGCCGTTTCCCACGTAGTTATATAGTTCAGGTAAGCTACAAGAATATCGTATTCTCCCAGTTTAGTATTCCGGTACACACACACTCTCTCATCCCATTGTTTTGGATTTTCCAAAGGTAGCGATATCTGTGATTCTCATATTGATGCTTGTGCTTGAAGTTTGTTGACAACATCCTATCTGATTGATTCCATCCTTTACACAATTACTTTGTATATAATGCACCAAATCTGCAATACAATACAATAAATAATGGTCACCAATGAACAGTTGACCGTAGCCAACAGATGTGCAATTCATTTCGATTATTCTGTCCACGAGGAACAAGAGGCCACATGCATTGTTTATCTCAGTCCCATGGAGATAGCCCCGCAATCACACACAGGCGCCCAAGGCGCCCAAGGGTGTTTTGTAACGTCCCAAAACTGTAGGCGGTCGAGAAAAAGTCAATCATGTATTGTCCCGCAAAAGGGCGAGCAGTGCAGCTAATCGCAGAAACTGTGGATTGCTAGGGGTAAGCCGCATGCCATTCCGAGGTGGAGGTTGGAATGGCAGTAAAAACATACGGATAAGATGATTTACTAAAAGGGTCACATCTCATCTGAATTCCAGACCGTGTAACAATGTTCAAACGAGATATTTTGTCCCCGTAAAATGATCGATTGTTGAATGAACCGGACGGATTGGGTCAATTTCAAATAGAGGATGACGTTTTTAAATCTTCCCTATTATAAAATTACGGATTTTCGGTGAGGACTAAGAGCGTGTGGGAAGGTGGGTGGGTGGGTGGGATTGAAGGCTTTCCAGTGATGAGGAAAGATGGGATGTTTGAATGTAACTGGAAGTTGCCTGAATTTTGCGGATTACGTCTGAGCTCCAGTACTGCGTGCTCTGACACGAGACGTGTTGCTGATAAAAGCAACAGCGTGTTTACAGGTCAATTATTTAATCAGTTCATGGATCAGTTGGTCGACAAATCAGTCATTCAGTTTTCTTTTAATGAGATTATTATATGTTGTACGTGTCTGAAAAACCAGACTGTGTGTATATGTTTCAAACAAACCACAGTACGGTATAAAAAGAACTAAGATCCATGATTTATTCGCACGTGGGCGGAACACTACGGAGCCAGAACCAGGTTAGAGTAGGTGATGTTCCTGGAGCAGTTAAAAACCGGAGCCTTTAACTAGCAACAAGACAGCGGAGTGGTGTGCGAAAATGTTATTGGTGAACAAATCCAGTATGGATAGTACTGAATTATCTCCCATTTCGCATTTAATTCACAGTAGTGATGTGGATATGCACTACCGATGAACTCTGATAAGAGCGAAACTCGAGTCCAGTGCTTCCGAATGTATGGTTGACCGGATGAACTGAGGCTTGTGCGTGAAGATGAAGTCCGAAGGATAGTCAGTTCGCATCAATGAATCATCTTGATTTTTTTTCGGAAGATTACAACAGTATCTCTACAACGGTCAATACCTGTTCGCTCAGTCTGCTTACTAACCGCGATCTTGTTAAAAAACATGTCATTTATCATTGAATGCGGTTGTGGTTACTAGTCCATTGATGAAAAACAGCCTAATCACTAAAGTTTACCTCAATAACTCGAACCGATGCCGCCGAACAAATTTTGCTATTCGAATAGGTCTGCAATGAGAAGTGCATCACTCGGAGTACATCGTAAGCACTGAACTCGTCGGTCTGATTACTTTTGTCCGGGCAGCTGTGTGCGTGTGTGTTAGTTGCAGCGTGCACGAACCACACTGCACCACCATTTCGGATTATCGAGTCCGGGTCAGCTTATCTGTCTCGTGCACTATCGCACGGTATCACCGACCCAGGGAATCGACTCGCGTTAGCGAGCTTGACAAGATGCACGACTGAGGTCGTGGAAAAACAGATGGTCGATCCGGGGCTAGAAAAATGTATGATTAATTGATTGATCAGTGAGTTGTGCTAAACGGGGTGAATCTAACCTCAATGTTTATTTCTCAAGTCAAATTGATGGTCTCTGAAATCAAAGTTGAAATGCCAAATCTATCTGTGTTGCACCATATTCCGTTAGCTCACTCTCGTTTTTCTGCAATATTTTGCGAAGCCTCCGTTTGGGTGATGATATTGTGATCCCCAGTGTGCCCATATCCTGTCTTATCTATCAATCACTGTTTCTATTTGTCTTGTACGTGAAACTGACTGTGGACTTGCCCAGATCGATTTTATCCCGGATCAAACGGCCTTTAGGATAGGACATGCTCCATGAATAATGTGTGGCATATGTGTACGCCATGACTCAATGTGTTTTAGAAAAATGAAGTGCATGTATTATCGGTATCCTTGAGCCGTGTTTCCTGAGCATATATTGGAGCCAAGTTCACAACACACGTTTTGTCATGGTTAGTCCAAGAAGAGCATGCATTCCATGTGATAGAACTGTACTTTCAGTCAATCAGTCCCCTGCGGGTAAGAATACAATACCACAACTAGAGGACTGCCTGAACTGGTATAGAGAGTTTTTGTCTCTTACAGACTCGAGGGACAGACAAGGTTGCCATTACAACAAACGTTCAAAGAAAAACATATTTAGAACTAGTTTGAAAGATCGAAACAGTCATTCATCATCTAAGCAGGCAACATACGAGGACAGATGTTTGAGAGAACCAAAAAGTAATCTCTATGAGGTTACGTTCACTGAAATAGCAAATCGGTTTTCACTTTCACAGTTCTGCACAATGGAATGGCTTTAACACAACATGTGCCACGAGCAACGATGCATCTGTCATACAGTGAGCAGTGTCCCGAACGAGTGAACTTCATGATGCGGGCCGAGTCGATTCATTCCCCGTATGTTCTCAAATCTGAGAATGTATCCAGCAGAAGTCATCTACAGATGATGTTCCTTGAAAACGTGCGGAAAAACAAGGATAAACTAACCATTTTATTCATTCAACCCTGTCGCACGTATCTCTGGCGGTCGATGAACCTTTGAAAGTCGTGCTTCCATTGCAGTTCTATTCGGGGCCTCAACTGATAATTAGCATCCGAGATATGGAATCAAAGAACAGATTGTAGCCGCCAGAACTGTTGAATTTTCAGCTCGGTATTTTCGTGTGTGTGTGTGTGTGTTTAAGTAGAGTCGTCATTGTTCCATCTCTCCACCGATCGCGAGAGATTGAACTCTCAGCAGGTAACGAATGAAACAAACTTGTGGGTGTAATGTCAGATCGGGTGGCTATAGCCACAGGTATTGATCAAACTTCGTGCCCCACCCTGACACTTTCATCACAGTTGTTCCTCCCAACGCTTAGAGTTCCGAGCCACTGCATCATTTACTCAGCTGATGGTTTGAACACATTGCTGGTGATTTCGGTGCAAAATTGCACTGGGTTGCATCATTCCGAAAAGTGTTAGTCAGAGTTAACCCCTAATGAACTTATTTGCTACGTCGCTCTTAGGATTGACTGCATGACGCTACCCCCTCCCCCCCGGGGCTCCCTTTCCTCCACCATGTGTACAAGTCATCTAGGGGTTCGGTTGCCTCGTGTTTCACATCAATAAAGGCTTATTCGTCACTGTCTTTATCTGGTATTCCTTGATGCTGGCGACTTCGCATTAATAAAAACATCCAACCTTAGTATTCGGATTAGTGCATTAGATTGCTACTCTCAAATATCTGTGATCATTCTCGATAGACTTAGATAGGCTGTACCTACTGATCATTATCAATTAGACTATAGCCTCTCTGTTGGTAAGATATCTTTCTGTGTGACGGTAGCCTCTAGAGAAACCATGTTTGTTTATGTGAACAAGTGCTTCAGGGCTCTAGGGGGGGGGGGACACCTCCACTACTTTGGACAATGTGTAGCCCTTTTCTCCGAAACATGGACCACAGTATTTATTTACTCTCACGTTTCCTATGTTCTTCCGGCAGTGTATGGGAACAACCTCCGCGAGGGTCTTTTTATCTGCCCATTGAACTGTAAATGCGTATCTCGACTATATACCGCAAATTATTCAAAGTGCAATATGTCACAGTGGTTGTTCACCCAGACATCTTCCTTTGAAGATGCCCCGGGTAACCTTTTATCACTTCTCAACGTGATCATATCTTATGGTCATGTGTTCGGATTCACCTTCTAGTTTGCTATCAAGTTCCACTTTTAGGTTTCTCTGGCACAGTGAAGTTCTTTCGGGTTAATTAGGGCTGGTCATATCAACAAAATTTCTGCCGAGTTTGTATATGTCAACACTTAAACTAGTAAAAGTAGTTGAGTGTTGATCACTATCGAGTAAGATGTGATTGCGATTCCCTGCCTCTCCCCCGTCGTGCCAATCAGTCAAATCGAAGATCTTATAAAACGAAAACATCCTTCGATTGAATTGGTAATTAAGAAGCCAGTTTTCGAGGTTTCTCGGTGGTGGTGGTGGTGGTGGTGGTGCTGCTGCTGCTGCTGCTTCTGGTGCTGGCGGTATTGGTACTTGTGTGATTGGATCACCCGATCCCAGGGGCGATGTCATGGTGAGGTGCACTGCTTGAGCTGATATGAAACAAACCAATAACAATTAACGTGTAGAAATCAGAACACAGTCATCCAAAACCAAATACTTTGGAAAACCAGGGCACTACTCACCTTTGTGAGTAATATGTTTGAGTTGCGCACTAGTCATAATAGTCAGAGTGAACA